GCCTTTTGTCCCCTTTGTTCTGGTCTCCACTCAGCCCCACCCCTACTCTGGAAGAAGTCAACGCCTGGGCCCAGTCATTTGACAAGTTAATGATCACCCCAGCGGGAAGAAATGCCTTCCGAGAATTCCTTCGAACAGAATTCAGTGAAGAAAACATGCTTTTCTGGATGGCCTGTGAGGAACTGAAGAAAGAAGCTAATAAAAATATTATTGAAGAGAAAGCAAGGATAATATATGAAAACTACATTTCCATTCTTTCTCCTAAAGAGGTGTGTGCCCAAGAAAAGGGTTTCTCCCAGGAGGCCATTGGTAAAAAGTAGCCCCTTCTGTGTTTGGTCCCATTCATCTTGCACAGTCACGGGTACTACAAAATATAGAATTTTCAAATCTCTTTGACTGTGGTCCCACAGATGGGGTCCAACTGCCCCCTGAAATCTGTGAAAAATTTTATGCATTTTTCTGGAAAAAAATATCCGTAACTGTCATCAGATTCTCCAGAAGGGGAGTCTGTGCATTTTGCTCTTAACACTGTTTAAAAATATTACACCCTATAGACATTCCTTTGAATAAATTATCCTGTTATACTGAACAAAATCTTTTTTACAGGTATCTTTATATTATATACTAATAGCATCACTGATAGGAGACTGATGCTGCAAAAGTTTTCCCAGGGTGTCCTTTTTTATATCAGAGAAATTATCAGATGAGTGAAATTGGGCAAGTTTTCACCTCTCAAGAGCTTGAGTTTCTTCAAATTTAAAATCTAGGAGAGGTGCCTTGTAAATCATATTATAAAATCATTTATTCCTACTACGTGCCGCTAAGAACATAGGGTTGGTAAAGCAGGATCTCTCCTGTCAAGGAGCTCGCCCAGAAGTGGACAGGCAGGTGCAGATCCTGGTGAGGTGGCTCCAGGTCCCCACAAGGGCTACAGGAGTGAGCCCTCCACAGTGGGGCAGGGCGGGGATGAGGAAGAGGTGGCTCGGGGAAGCTGTAAATGGACTGAGGAGAATGGAAATTACCAGAAACACAGCGGGATGGGAAATCCCAGGGAATAGGACTAGATTAGCCATGGATAAAAGTGCGACACTGTAGGAACAGTGAAAGTGTAAACAGTTTGGTTTGCCTGAAGTGTAGGGTGTTTACCAAACTACTGGGGTTGGTGGCAGGCAGTGGGGGGAGATTTAGAAAAGGGGGGCCGAGCCCGTGGCTCACTCAGGAGAGTGTGGCGCTGGGAGCGCAACAGCGCTCCCGCTGCGGGTTCGGATCCTATATAGGGATGGCCGGTGTGCTCACTGGCTGAGCGCGGTGTGGCCGGTCTCAAAAAAAAGGACAAAAAAAGAAAAAAAGAAAAGGGACGGTCTGAGAGCATGGAGAGGTTTGGGTGCCATGCTGAGGTTTTCTGATTTTATCCTGGGAAGCCCTTGGATTTTAGCCTGGTAATATCATCAAATGTGGATTTTTGAAGGACCAACTTGGCTGCAGAATGGATTAGAAGATTAGAGATAGAGAACGGCTAGAGAACTAATTCAGTAGTTAAAAAAAACGGACCTGGTGAGGGCCTACCTAGACCAGCTGAAGAGAAACTAGACTGGAAGGTGTGATTTGAGGTAAATCCCAGAGTCTCACATGACTCCTGCATGGTTTAGGCAGACCAGATGGTGGGTAGTTGGCTGAAATTGGGCAGACAGGAAAGGGAGCTTGCTTGGGAGAAAGACAGTCGGGCTCTATTCTGCTCTCTGAAGTTTGCAAGTTGTTACAGCTACAGCTACAGTCGTAACATGTTTAGTACGTGTCTGAATATTGAGTTCAGAGTTATTTCCACTTTAGATTAATAAAAGCAAGAGGATTTTAGTCTTTTATGGCTTGGAAAAATATTTTTATTTTTATTTTGTCATAATTTTCCTTTTTTTAAGGCAAAAATTTTTGTCAGTGTCTTTTAAAGCATTATACAACCAAAAGACATCTTAGCAAATTTAGGAAGCAAAAATGATATAAAAATATGACCCTTCCCCCCCAAATATAAGCATCTATTACTTGAAGTGTAAAAGCTTGAAAATTTTAAGAGCATAGACTGATGGGTCAGATTAGCTTAGGTTTGAACCCCGGTTCTCACTTATTAACTGCACAACCGTGGGTGTATTTCTTAACTTCTGTGCCTGTTTCCTCCTATGCACAAAGGGGCTATCACCTGGGAGGAGCCCTGACTGGGCCCCGTCCGCACTCTCAATGATATTCTCCATTGGGAACTTGTTAAGAATGAGGTTTCATTTGCACCTTGTCTGCTTGTAAAATAGAGTATTTTTTTAATGTTTTCTGCAGTAACTCACTCTCTAACAAGAGCAGGAACTTTCGTCCTTTTGGCTAGCGATGGGTATTGAGCATTTCTCTTTGTCCAGGAGCTGTACTTATAAGCACTGGGCCCTCAAACTCACGAAGCTGCTGGAGGGGGTGCAGGGGGGAAGGTCACGAGAAGAGGGACCTTTACTTCCCTCTGGGTGGTTGGTGAAGGGTTCCGGGTTGGGGGGAGTGAAATCTAAACCAAGACCTGAAGGATAAGTAGACCACCAGGCAGAGTAGAGGGAAAGTCGTTCTACACAGAGAGGAAACAAAGACAAGATAGTTCTAGCTCCTTCCTTCTTTAAATTCCAGGTGATTCAGAACAGCTGTTGTGTGGAACAGTGAGGTAGAGCTGGGGAATTAGTGGAAGCAGATCATAAAGGGCCTCAGAAGCTTAACCTTGGAACTGGAGAGCTTAGGACTTGATCCTGAGAACACCTACAGGCCAGTGCAAGGTATGAAGCTGGAGTATCAGTAACAGATTTGCATTCTAGAAAGAGCCTTCTGGCCAAACTGCGGAGCATGGTTAGGAGAGGCCCTTAGACTCACTGGCACCGAAAGACCTGTTAAGAGGCTGCTGCACAAACCAGCAGCTAATGGTGAGTGACCTCCACAGGCCTCTGTCATGGCAGAGAGGAGGCGGGGGGGGGGGGGGG